TAGCAAATAGTATTTGTGATCTGTGAATGGGTAGTACTTTCAAATGTCAGCGTGACATCCGGAAATTGTGTTCGACTCCATTTTGAAAATGGTCGTGCCCTTCTTTCTTTCGAAACGTGGGAAACGTCAACATTGGTTGGTTTTTGTCCTGTTCCAAAATTTATTACTTTTAATTTTGCGATAATAGTGCAAAGTAAGTGTTTTAAAGTAGCTTATTTGCAAAGAATTATCTTTATATTGTGGAATTTTTCCTATATTTGTGACAGATGCCACGTGAAATAAAAGAGGTGAAAGATTTCTTAAACAAGGCACGTCGTGCTGACGCCCGTGCTGTGAAAATCAAGAAGAACGCCTCTAACACCAAATTTAAGATTCGTTGCTCGCGGTTCTTATACACATTGGTGGTTCAGGACAAAGAGAAAGCCGAAAAAATCAAGCAGTCCTTGCCGCCAGGCTTACAAGTAAAGGAAGTCAAGTGATTGTGTTACATTTGAAAGCGTGTGATAACTAGAGGATGGAAAAAATGTCCATGTGTTTTGTGAGCACTTATGCAGAAATCGTATTTGTTTTCAAGTACTGAAATACAAATTATCAAAAAATAACTTTTTTTTTTATTTGTATAGATTAAGTTCAACTGGGATAACAAAAGTTATATGGTAAAGGTTAAGACTGCTTGAATATGATTTTATTTTTTAGATTGGAGACCGATCGACCGAATTAAAAAAAGCGAAGAAACCCCACAAATTTAAAAACCCGTGAACACATGATAACAGTTTCTAACCATACAAATTTAAAGAATATAAGGTTTGATTGCCAATAACAAAATTGTTAAAACATTCAAAATCGTACATGAATAATATATTTGATGAATAAGTATGTATGTACATGCTGGTGGGAAAATACTATTTCACAGGATTTCAGAAACCGTTGCCATAAAACGATATTTCTTCGACTTCGGAAGACTGTTTTCCTTATACATATGTATGTTTATGTGCATATCTACTATAATTTCACTGCAAAACTAATGTTTTCGTGTATTTTGTGAAATTAACGCCGTTTACAGATGTACATATAATTATGGCTAAGGTCAGACGTACAATTTATCACAGAAGTAAGTATGCAGTTCATCTGTTTTGCAGTGAAAAAAAAAAAATTAACGTTAAAACTAGTAAAGAATTTTTTTATTATGTCACATTTTAATTAAAGGCAGTAACAAAAACCAGGAATTTCGTTTAACAATTTTCTTAATTAGTGAAAGGGTTTTAATTGTTGGAAATTACGTGCCCAAACTATTAAGCACTAAGAATAGATTACAATTACATTTACTTTGAGCTTTGATAATACTTTGTTGTATAGCCTTTGGATTCTTTAGTCGCACTCAATCTGGATGGCACGGCCTGAAAGACCGAATTGTCATTTAGTTAGAAGTTGCATTCCTTGTATGGATTGCTACAGAAAAAACACTCTTGCTTTTCGATTGCGCCCTCTATCACAATGCTGCACAATATGTATGGTGTGCATGATCCTTGTATAGAACCAATGTGGAGTAGTAAACCCCACTTTGAGGCTATTGGGCCGAGATACGCGAACATAGGGAGTGGACCATGCGTTACGTTGCCTCATGTTGCCTACGCAATACTGCGTCTCTATCCTCTACGGCTGTGCAATCTGCGCACAGTTCGTGCATTGCGTCGCCAATCACTACGAGTGACCAACAGAGGTCAAATGATCGTAGCGGGATGGAGCTGGCGGAACAATGAATGACGAAGCTCGCACCAGAGTAATGGACACTTGTAGTAGCTCGACCGGTATTACCATTGCGAGTGGTGGTCTGGTAAATAGCATAACCTGGCGACCTATGCTAACTCGTATCAGACCATCAGCCCATGATTATCTCGATCGAAGAAACCTGCCGATTCCGTTTCTGTGGACAACTGTACCTTCGTAAACTTTAACAAGCTAACTGGGTCGACTTCACAGAATTTACTGAGAGCATCTTCAACGCTCTATCCATCCTATATGCGATGGCAACGTCAAATCCGCAAGGTGATCGCAGCAGCTACCGCTCGCTTCATCCCAGCTGGACGAATAGCGGAAATCCGCCCCAACTTCCCAGCCGAAGCAGCCGTTTTAACTAACGWGSGCGACACCTTACGCCATGCCGATCCCGGGGATTCCCGAATAAGGGATCTCAATTTAGAGATTCGGCGGGCGAAATAGATAGAGCACCTGAAGTCCTGTAACCTCTCCACCAGTGTGAGTAAGCTTTTGGCCACTGTCAAAGCATTGTCTAAAACAAAGAGACATGACGACCGAGTTGAAGTTCAATTAAACGGTCATGCCTCTTCGGACCTGAAGAAGTGCGTGAGCTAGACACGCCGACGGCTGCTCAAAACGCCAAACGACTGCGCGCCTTTTTCACCGATTAGGAGTTTCAGAGTGTCATCAACAAAGCAAAATCCATTAGTACATTACGATTCCATGCTAATGCTAAAGCATCTAGGCTCGACGGGAGTAAGATATCTCACCAAGGTCCTCAACCTGTCGCTGACCACATTTCAAATACCCGATGTGTGGAAAGTCGGAAGAGTGGTCCCAGTAGTGAAGACACTTGAGGCCTTGCTACTCACCATCTGAGCCTAGCTAGCCATCAACATGAACTCTGAAAAGTGCACAGCACTTAGCGTCATAAACGCGTGGCCCCAACCAGAAACCACCCTGTGGAAGAGCGATCCTCGTAGCCTGTCAAAAGCTTTTGACACGGTCAACCACATAACGCTACTGCAGAACATTGAAAAAACTATGCTTCCTCCAGGGCTAAAGAGGTGGACCATGAACTATCTGACCGGTCGTCAGTCATCCGTACTATTTAGAGGTGAAACATCTAAACTGAGAAGAATTAAACAGAGGGTTCCGCAAGGTGGTGTCCTCTATCCCATTACTGTTTAACTTCTACATCACGAAACTCCCGCAACCACCAGAGGGGATTCCTTAACCTCATACGCAGATGGAATCGATAGCATGTGTTCGAAGGTAAACAACTACTTCACCGACATTTCTCGTTTCCTCACTGCACGGAACCTCACACTTTGGCCCACCAAATCCACATCGACCATCTTTACGAACTGGAGAAGAAGTAAAGAACTTAGTATTGCAGTCGATGACGTCAAAATTCTGACTCAATAATCCTCAGGGTTTAGGTCTAACATTCGATAGTCTATGCTCCTTCTCTCTCCATACGAGCGCGATTATTGCAAAGGTACAGAGCCGCAACAAAATCCTCAAGTCGCTAAGATCTCGAGTTGCCGCAAGAAACGCGAATGACCCTAGCGCAACCGCTATCATTCTGGATATTGTAGTAGATTAAACTCCTACTTATCCAGAATATACCCTGACATACCCAACAAATGTTCTGCATGCAACGAATCTCCGTATGACACTGACCACATTTTTGCATGCCCTACCAACACCACCCATCTAACACTCTTTTCCCTTTAGCCCGACCCCGTCGAAACAGCACGTTTCCAGGGCCTCCCGTCAGATGACGTCGACGACAACACTGATAACCCTCACCATCCCAACGGTTACTGATAACCGTTAAAACAACAACAACAGTAGCTTTCATTTCCCGTTGCTCTCGTTATTGAGTTTGTATTTCTGTTCACCGAAAGTAGTATTCATCCTAACATTCAAGGTTATTGAATCGCCGAATTTTAATTATAATTATCTTTTGCACGGCGCCATGTTTAAAATTTAAAATATATTACGGAAGAAATTTGATAAAACTTGAAAATATTTGTTTCTTAAAAAACTAAATTATTATTTATTGCTTTTAAAGTGGATAAATACCATGAGTTAGTCAAAAATATTATAAAATATATATGTATGTAAGGGGAAATTGCATCAAAAAAGGGTTATGTGAATGGTAGCGATCTGTAATATTATTTTAAGAAACTCAAACTATTTTCCTTTTATTTTGCAAATAATGTGACTTTTTGTACGCACCAAAATTTTAATTGATATTTGGCTCCTAACGCAGTAAGCTATTTTGGAGTTAAAGGCATATCAGAAATCCATTGCAATACACAAATAGTGTTTGTTAATTCTTTGAAATTCTGTAGTCTAAAAAAGCTTAAATCTCTTGTAAAAAGAATAATATTTTTTTAAAACTCACGACATCCCTATTTCCTGGGAGATATAATAAACATTCATAAAAAACGCAATTAAATTCAATAAAATATACAGCCCTTTACAATGGTATGCTACAAAAGTAAAAAATGTTGTACTTGTAAATAATTTTAAGTAACTAAAGAATTTTCAAATTAAATATAATATTATTCAAAGACGACAATTTTTCATACTAATTAATAGCGAGAATTCTCTTAAATAAACAAGACAAATTACAATAAAACATCTTACATTAATGAATGTAAATTTAAAGCTTAATATTTATTATATGTTCTAATAAATTATATTAACTATAAATCCACTAGTATTGGGAGCAATAATCGCATAGAACGTTTCACTTTTCATGTACCAAATTTCAGTACGGCCTAGAAACCCGCTATTTGGCATGCTGGCAAAATCACGGGAGGAAATTTAGTGTCATTAGCGGATATAGCAATTAATGTCGTTATAGTATCCTTTTCTGACACAGACGATATTTCTACCACTGTCTTTGATTATTTTCTTGACGTTTTTAGAAGATCGTTTCATCATAGGAAACAATTATGTCTTCTTCGTCCATTGTCAAATATGATTGGGAACCCACTTTAAAGGACAACTCAGGCACTTTTGTGTTAAGGCGATATTGAATGGTGGACTTAGGAATTCCATAAGTATTGCATAGTTTTTGGAGACGTTTTTTTGACTGGAAAAAAAATAACTTTTTCACATTGTGCAATGAGTGCACCAAATAAAAGTTCTTTGATAAAGTCGAAGACACACGAAGGCACACTTACACTCCATCCTTGATGGAAAAAATACAATAAAACAAATCATTTAGAAGTACTTCACAATATATAGTAAAACAGTTATATTTACAACATCGAAAACTTTTATAATTTCATCCTAAAGTAGAATCATCTTCTTCTCCTATTTCCAGCATAGCTTGCATGATTTTTCGTTTCAGTTTTTTTTTTGAACTAACTGAATTAAGATGACGAAATTCTGTTGCAATCAATTCACCAAAAGCATCCCACTCATCTCTTGACCTGATGAACATACATTTATCTTTGCTTTGTTTAGATCCCATACCTAACATATTTTTGTTATACTGCATTCCAGAATGGGAATTGTGGCAGCAAAAATTTGTTTGACCAGTCTGTTGTTCTTCTATAGGTTCCCCTCGACTTTGTGGTTTCAATTGCAAAACAGATTTTTGGTCCAAAATTTTAGCTTTATTAAAGTCTGCTTGATTTACATTTTGCAGATTTTGATTTAATGGTGGAGAATTGGAAATATTGTTTGATTCGCTTTCAGCAACCAAAGTGGATATTATGTTTTCACTACCTTGCTCATTAAAATTCATTGATCGATCTACGGATGAATGCTCAGAAATTATCGCAGAATTGTCAACAATGGTCGCATCATCAAATTGATACTCTGTGATTTGTTCAATTACTACATCCTTTTTACGTACTTTTGAATCTTTATTAGGTTCCTTTGTCTCTTCTTCACTGCTGTTATCATATTTGGATTGACAGCTTATTTTTCTTTTTTTAGCCAGATAACCTCCTGGACGTGGTTCAATTACATCGTGAAGAAATCTAAGTGACTGAAAATGTTTCCACCGACATCCTTCTGCTGTTGACTCCGTGTCGTACCCAGTTTCCTCAACTCTCCTTTCAAGTTTTTTCATCTCAGAATTAAACTGATTTCGCAAATTATGAATTTTTTTTCCAAATTCCAATCTGGTTATATGTAAGCTGTTACAAATATCGTCGATGGCTTTTGATCGTTTTTCCTTATTTTTATATGCCTCAATATAGTGGTTCCATAAACAGTCATGCTGACGGTAAAGATAAATCAATTGTGTAATTTTTTCACGGGTCCATACTGTACTCTTCCGACGGGAGGTCAACACCATAGAATCATCAGAGTTTTCCATGCTTTTTTGAAAAATCTTATTTTTTTTAGTATAATGAAATGTTTGTTTACATTTTTTAAGACCTTGGTGAAGTGAGATATAGTCGATTTTTACTATATATTATTCACAGTGCTTCCCATCGATTATAGTTAAGTGATTAATGCCGATTCACAGTTATCGTTCGATTCCATTACGGGGCATCTCGACAGGAAAGAATTTATAGAATACAATCTGCATTGCCGTACCGATTGTTTGTGGAGACTCCACATTGCTCATAGCTTACCAGATATAGAATACTATATAGTTTGCGAAATATCATAAGCTATGAGCTGTCACTTCAACCGGATTCTGTAACCAGTCTCTAGTCTATATTTGAGACATTATGTGTTAAAATCTCAATTTGTGACTAGTTTCTATTCACTAAACAGCCTCTAGCTTTAGTCTCAAAATATTGCCTCAAATTTGAGACCTGGTAGTTAGCAAGTCCCAAACCCAGAAAGAACTCTTGTCTGCCATTTTGAATATACTGAATAGAGATCACCACAGATATTAATCGATAGTAGTTTTTTTCTATTTTGTAAGCAACTCAAACACGAAGAGGTTAAAAATAAATCAATTTTACATAAATTTCGTTAATATTATAAAACAAAGTCAACATATAATTTTATTTTTATTGATAATTATGTCTTTTGACTATGTTATAGAAAATTTAATATTTGTTATCGACATATTAATTTTCATTCAAGTATAAAAACATCTCTGAATAATGAAATGTAATAGATTTTGTGACTGCCGCTTACAGAATAGCAAAATCATCTCAAGACTCAAAATTTGTCTCTAACTTAAAATCTCAAATTTAGAGACTTGAGACTATATCACAGTACAGGATAACACGGTAGAAGTCTCAGATTTATATTTAGGGGTTTCACATAGTCTTATATAGTTATAAGTTAGAACGATAGCCCTGTTACATCATTTGCAATAACAAGTGATAATTTAAAAGAAACAAATTTACCTATTTGCTTATTTTTTGTTTAAAAATTTCACTTTGAACAAAATATTAAAATTTCATTGAAGGGCAAGGTATTAGTATGGCCACAACGAAACTGTGTACATGCAAAATTGACAACTGAGTTGTTTTGTGTACATGCCGGCCATTGTTATGTTGCTGCCCTCTCACAAACGTTCATGTAGTAGGATTCACAATGCCATTTTTAGTTCACTGTCGTTTTAGTTCACTGTCGTGCTGCTGCAGTCTATCGCGAGCATTGTGTTCCGCACATGACAATTCAAACCGTATGTACGTGAATCGTTTATTTCTAACGCAAAGGGCGGTGTGTATGTTATACCATGTTCAGACCGACACTTAATCACAAGATTTCGGCTGTTGAGTAGTTTATCCAAAAAACTTAAAACATAGAGAAGGTGCAGCTTCGATGTCGAACATTTTATAAGATTGTGATAGGGAATTCACCTCACAACCATAGAATTCACGATGTGAAATGTTAACACTTTTAACAGTTCTCCACATAATCAAACAGAGAATATGAAGAGAAATAATATAGGTATGGGATATGATGTCATAGCATGTATGCGCAATCATGGAATATTGAAGGAAAATTAGTTCTTTGATATTCCACTTTTAACAGCGAAAAATGTGTACAAATACTTCTCAAGAATATGAAGAGACATAAATATATGTATGCATGCTCCTTATGATACTCTCAACAACAGCATTGTGATATTTCCATGCTTCAATTCTTGCTTTCGCACTGTATGCAAATATGCATGGTTTTGCGTTTTGCCGTCGGTATTTCCATATTGGCATGTAAAAATAATTATGATATGAGTATAATTTTGTATGAATGCATGCATAGTAATATTTATAGTCAATTTGGACTTGCATATTTAATAACTTTATTTGATTTTTACATAATATACTCAATATTTAGTATATTAGTATAAATATATATGTATTATGTTTCTTACTATTAGAAATTAAATTTATCACAACATTATATAAATACATCGTCTATCATATTAATCTTATTATCTGCTCATATGATTGCATGTATGTATATGCATGTGCGCGTTCAGAAATTCAAATAATGATGTTATCACTTATCAATATATTACATGTGCGCGCATTGATCTGCATGTTCATACATTCATATATACTTATATGTACATACATATATATACATTTGTATACACTTCCGAACAAATAATGCACAAGCATACAAACATACATATGCGTACACATGTGAATATGTCACCAAACAAAAATTGAAAATTGTTCTACAAAAACAACAACTGTCTCAAATAGCATAAGCATGCCAAGTCAATATGGCAGCCGAATTGGCGAAGCCCAAATGTAGTAAATTTTACAACAAAAACGATTTCATTCATAAACGCAGGCGCAAATTCTATAGGCGATCTCGCTTCATTCATAAAAACAGACGCCGTAACATCACCCCGAGCATGCCTTTGCCAACAAGCGTCTTTTCGCGACGATGGCAAAAGCTAAAAATCATAAATTGAACATCTTTCTGGTGTTTGTTCTAAGAAAGAAGTGAGAAAAGTGGCAACGTAGCTGTTGTCGATTTACAATATTTGTCAATTCTAAAATATTTTTCCGTGGCTCCCAAAAATTAGCGTCGATATGTATACAAGCTCATACATATGTATACATATTTACACTAGTTTGT